CAGGGCCAGTACTCTGGGCCTTATAACGCAAAGATTACCACCAGTGAGATATATCGTCACAATCAATGTCAGTACTCTCGGTCTTATAACGCAAAGATTATCACCAGTGAGATATATTGTCACAACCAATGTCAGTACTCTCGGCCTTATAACGCAAAGATTACCACCAGTGCGATATATTGTAACAAGCAATGTCAGTACTCTCGGTCTTATAACGCAAAGATTACCACCAGTGAGATATATTGTTACAACGAGGGTCAGTACTCTGGGCCTTATAACGCCAAGATTACCACCAGTGAGATATATCGTCACAATCCATGTCAGTACTCTCGGCCTTATAACGCAAAGATTACCACCAGTGAGATATATTGTCACAACCAATGTCAGAACTCTCGGTCTTATAACGCAAAGATTACCACCAGTGAGATATATTGTCACAACCAGGGTCAGTACTCTCGGTCTTATAACGCCAAGATTACCACCTGTGAGATATATTGTCACAACCAGGGTCAGTCCTCTCGGTCTTATAACGCAAAGATTACCACCAGTGAGATATATAGTCACAACCAATGTCAGAACTCTCGGTCTTATAACGCAAAGATTACCACCAGTGAGATATATTGTCACAACCAATGTCAGTACTCTCGGTCTTATAACGCAAAGATTACCACCAGTGAGATATATTGTCACAACCAATGTCAGTACTCTCGACCTTATAACGCAAAGATTACCACCAGTGAGATATATTGTAACAAGCAATGTCAGTACTCTCGGTCTTATAACGCAAAGATTACCACCAGTGAGATATATTGTTACAACCAGGGTCAGTACTCTGGGCCTTATAACGCCAAGATTACCACCAGTGAGATATATCGTCACAATCCATGTCAGTACTCTCGGCCTTATAACGCAAAGATTACCACCAGTGAGATATATTGTCACAACCAATGTCAGAACTCTCGGTCTTATAACGCAAAGATTACCACCAGTGAGATATATTGTCACAACCAGGGTCAGTACTCTCGGTCTTATAACGCCAAGATTACCACCTGTGAGATATATTGTCACAACCAGGGTCAGTCCTCTCGGTCTTATAACGCAAAGATTACCACCAGTGAGATATATAGTCACAACCAATGTCAGAACTCTCGGTCTTATAACGCAAAAGATTACCACCAGTGAGATATATTGTCACAACCAATGTCAGTACTCTCGGTCTTATAACGCAAAGATTACCACCAGTGAGATATATTGTCACAACCAATGTCAGTACTCTCGGCCTTATAACGCAAAGATTACCACCAGTGCGATATATTGTAACAAGCAATGTCAGTACTCTCGGTCTTATAACGCAAAGATTACCACCAGTGAGATATATTGTTACAACCAGGGTCAGTACTCTGGGCCTTATAACGCAAAGATTACCACCAGTGAGATATATCGTCACAATCAATGTCAGTACTCTCGGTCTTATAACGCAAAGATTATCACCAGTGAGATATATTGTCACAACCAATGTCAGTACTCTCGGCCTTATAACGCAAAGATTGCCACCAGTGCGATATATTGTAACAAGCAATGTCAGTACTCTCGGTCTTATAACGCAAAGATTACCACCAGTGAGATATATTGTTACAACCAGGGTCAGTACTCTGGGCCTTATAACGCAAAGATTACCACCAGTGAGATATATCGACACAATCCATGTCAGTACTCTCGGCCTTATAACGCAAAGATTACCACCAGTGAGATATATTGTCACAACCAATGTCAGAACTCTCGGTCTTATAACGCAAAGATTACCACCAGTGAGATATATTGTCACAACCAGGGTCAGTACTCTGGGTCTTATAACGCCAAGATTACCACCTGTGAGATATATTGTCACAACCAGGGTCAGTCCTCTCGGTCTTATAACGCCAAGATTACCACCAGTGAGATATATAGTCACAACCAATGTCAGTACTCTCGGTCTTATAACGCAAAGATTACCACCAGTGAGATATATAGTCACACCCAAAGTCAGTAATCTCGGTCTTATAACGCAAAGATTACCACCTGTGAGATATATAGTCACAACCAATGTCAGTACTCTCGGTCTTATAACGCAAAGATTACCACCAGTGAGATATATAGTCACAACCAATGTCAGTACTCTCGGTCTTATAACGCCAAGATTACCACCAGTGAGATATATAGTCACAACCAATGTCAGTACTCTCGGTCTTATAACGCAAAGATTACCACCAGTGAGATATATAGTAACAAGCAATGTCAGTACTCTCGGTCTTATAACGCAAAGATTACCACCAGTGAGATATATAGTCACAACCAATGTCAGTACTCTCGGTCTTATAACGCAAAGATTACCACCTGTGAGATATATTGTCACAACCAATGTCAGTACTCTCGGTCTTATAACGCAAAGATTACCACCAGTGAGATATATAGTCACGACCAATGTCAGTACTCTCGGTCTTATAACGCAAAGATTACCACCTGTGAGATATATTGTCACAACCAATGTCAGTACTCTCGGTCTTATAACGCCAAGATTACCACCAGTGAGATATATAGTCACAACCAGGGTCAGTAGTCTCGGTCTTATAACGCAAAGATTACCACCTGTGAGATATATTGTCACAACCAATGTCAGTACTCTCGGTCTTATAACGCCAAGATTACCACCAGTGAGATATATAGTAACAAGCAATGTCAGTACTCTCGGTCTTATAACGCAAAGATTACCACCAGTGAGATATATTGTCACAACCAATGTCAGTACTCTCGGTCTTATAACGCAAAGATTACCACCTGTGAGATATATTGTCACAACCAATGTCAGTACTCTCGGTCTTATAACGCAAAGATTGGTACCTGTGAGATATATTGTCACAAACAGGGTCCGTCCTCTCGGTCTTATAACGCAAAGATTACCACCAGGGAGATATATTGTCACAACCAGGGTCAGTACTCTGGGTCTTATAACGCAAAGCTTACCACCAGTGAGATATATAGTCACAACCAGGGTCAGTAGTCTCGGTCTTATAACGCAAAGATTACCACCAGTGAGATATATCGTCACAACCAATGTCAGTACTCTCGGTCTTATAACGCAAAGATTACTTCCAGTGAGATATATAGTCACAACCAGGGTCAGTACTCTCGGTCTTATAACGCAAAGATTACCACCAGTGAGATATATCGTCACAACCAATGTGAGTACTCTCGGTCTTATAACTGACAGGGGATGTGACTATATGACTATATGTCTCACCCTGACAACCAATCCATTAAATCTCTGACTCTGACAACCAATCCATTAAATCACTGACTCTGACAACCAAGCCATTAAATCACTGACCCTGACCCTGACAACCAATCCATTAAATCACTGAGTCTGACAACCAAGCCATTAAATCTCTGACCCTGACCCGGACAACCAAACCATTAAATCACTGATTCTGACAACAAAGCCATTAAATCACTGACACTGACAACCAAGCCATTAAATCACTGACCCTGACCCTGACAACCAATCCATTAAATCACTGATTCTGACACTGACAACCAAGCCATTAAATCACTGACTCTGACCCTGACAACTAATCCATTAAATCTCTGACCCTGACCCTGACAACAAAGCCATTAAATCACTGACCCTGACAACCAAGCCATTAAACTACTGACCCTGACAACCGATCCATTAAATCACTGACCCTGACCCTGGCAACTAATCCATTAAATCACTGACCCTGACCCTGACAACTAATCCATTAAATCACTGACCCTGACCTTGGCAACTAATCCATTAAATCACTGACCCTGACCCTGACAACCAATCCATTAAATCACTGAGTCTGACAACCAAGCCATTAAATCACTGACACTGACTCTGACAACCAAGCCATTAAATCTCCGACCCTGACCCTGACCCTGACAACCAATCCATTAAATCACTAATTCTGACAACAAAGCCATTAAATCACTGACACTGACAACCAAGCCATTAAATCACCGACCCTGACCCTGACAATTAATCCATTAAATCTCTGACCCTGACCCTGACAACAAAGCCATTAAATCACTGACACTGACAACCAAGCCATTAAATTACTGACCTTGACAACCGATCCATTAAATCACTGACCCTGACCCTGGCAACTAATCCATTAAATCACTGACCCTGACCCTGACAACTAATCCATTAAATCACTGACCCTGACAACTAATCCATTAAATCACTGACCCTGACCCTGACAACTAATCCATTAAATCACTGACCCTGACCCTGACGATCAATCCATTAAATCACTGACCCTGACAACTAATCCATTAAATCACTGACCCTGACCCTGACAACTAATCCATTAAATCACTGACCCTGACCCTGACAACAAAGCCATTAAATCACTGACCCTGACAACCAAGCCATTAAATTACTGACCTTGACAACCGATCCATTAAATCCCTGACCCTGAAAACCGATTCATTAAATCCCTGACCCTGAGAACCGATCCATTAAATCACTGACCCTGACAACCCATCCATTAAATCACTGACCCTGACTACCGATCCATGAAATCACTGACCCTGACAACCAGATCCACTAAGAACCCGTGAAGATCCGGGTTAGCATTGGCCTTCAGTAACGCATGGTTGTCGTAAGCGGCGACTACAGGGATCGGGAGGTCAAGCTCGCTGGCTTGGTTGACACATGTAATCGTATCCCAGTTGCGTAGATCGATGCTCATGGTGTTGATCACTGGATTGTCTGGTCCAGAATTGATTATTTACAGCCCGCCGCCATATAGCTGGATTATTGCTCAGTGCGGCGTAAAACAACAAACCAACCAACAACGGATCCACTAAGCTACTGAGGGGCGGTGGGGTGGCCTAGTGGTTAAAGCGTTGGCTCGTCACGCCGAAGACCCGGGTTCGAATCCCCACATGGGTACAATGTGTGAAGCCCATTTCTGGTGTCCCCCGCCGTGATATTGCTGGAATATTTCTAAAAGCGGCGTAAAACCAAACTCAGTCAGTCAGTCAGTCACTAAGCTACTGGCCCTGAACCCCCGATGCAGCAAGGAGCGGTTACAGTGTCCATACCGTTCAGACGAATTTATTGTATAATTATTGTACACCAAAAGTAAGAGAAGCTAACAAACCCAAGTCTACTGACGAAGTCAAACAACCCAGCCACACAACCACGACCGAACTGATCCTCTGATGGAGATGGTAGCGATGGGTCAACATGTGTCATATTCTGTCCCAATTCAGCCACGTAGACAATATATGATGATTTACAAGAGCGCTCCACTGGCTTAAGACGCCGCACAATGCAGTAAGGGTCTCAACCTGTCCCCGTTCTTGTGTCAATATGTTCTCTGTTGAAGTGTATGAAGGCCTTTGTCGCTATCACGTATACACCCTGCACCGACTCTAGTTTCCCTAGCCCAGGATAACCTCATAACCAGTGTCCTCACAAACACAACCTGTCGCGCAGACAGCTCTGTATGAAAACTGATGCAACACATACGTCACTTCAATATGAAAATGACGCAATATTTTCTCCAATTACGTTCGCTTTGTAATTGCGTCAAGAACAAAACGCATCGGTTTTAGATTATCTTTTAATTGAAATTTTTACGTTTTAATTTATGCGTGGTATATTATTGCAATTGCTTTATTGCTAAAGTCGTGCATTAACACGATCACTCTGCATCGCAGTTACTGAAGCGCTAATAAAAGTCGCAGTATTGTTGTCGCTTCAACAAATTTCGCTTGGAAAGAGTAATCTCCCTTTGCCCAAGATACGATGAAACGCTCTGAAAACATCTTATACAGTACTGATTCGTCTCATAATATGGCTACTCGCATCTTTGGCACATGGACCAGATGGATTACCTTAGACAAGTTATACACTCGATATTTACATCTCCGTAGAAGATACTTTCTCATCTCCATATATAATAATATAGTTGTGCAAGCTTATCGTTACTCAAACCACGATGGTGTCATGTCAATTGTACGTTGCGACCCAAGTTGGATAGAGGCCATACAAACGTTGGGTATAGTTTATAGGTATATTCACACGGAAAAAAGGGCATCATTTACCTTTGAAACTCAATTTGAGACACCTGTCACATTTGAGACATTACAGGAGCAAATAAAATATGAGGATGCCCTAGAGTTGTCTAGGGAGTTGGAATAGCCCCGTGGTAGAAGCGTTCGCTCGTCACGCCGAAGACGGGTTCGATTCCCCACATTTCTAAATCCCATTTACGGAAATCATTTGAAATTCGCAAACTATCAGTGTTAGAATAAGAAAAGAAATCATTTAGCCACACTTAAACATATTTATATTTAAAGTTCAGATAGTATCTCAATAAACACATTGTTGAAAGTCAAACAAATCGTCATACACATTATCAAATAAGTCAAAGGTAAGATAAATTAGAACACACCCGGAACCGTTTCCGATGACTCGAGGAAATATAGTTACAGCACAAGTCGATAATCCGATAGTAGATAATACCCATTCTTAAAGATTATAATATCGTACAGACAAATGTAAGTATCATCTACATTGAAGATAAATTGTGTATAGACTCTGTCCCTAAGACACTTCCGTACTGCAGTACATCAACATTACCTGCCGTAAAGCATGATCCTAACACGACTGATGAAATCTGTTTGCGTCTGTCTTCAATCAGCGTTCAATCATTCTTTATCGTGACGTCAAAGCACAGAATGGTATGTATTACATGTTAGTGAGTGTAGTTTTACGCCGCTTTTAGCAATATTCATGCAATATCGCGGCGGGGGACACCAGAAATGGGCTTCACACATTGTACACATGTGGGGAATCGAACCCGGGTCTTCGGCGTGACGAGCGAGAGTAATAAAGGATGTGATACATGCCTACAAAGAGCGAGAGAGAGAGAGAGAGCGAGCGAGAGACAGAGAGAGACAGAGAGAGAGAGAGAGAGAGAGAGATTAAAGAGAGTTAATTTGTATCTTAATATGGAAAAGTCTGGACCAGACAATCCAGTGACTGACGTCATGAGAATGGATCTATTTAGAGGGAGAGGTGAGGTGAGGTGAGTTAGAGAGAGAGGTGAGGTGAGGTGAGGTGAAACTGGGTTTAACGTCGTGCTTGAGAATATTTCTCTCATATGACGACGTGCATGCGCGTGTGTGTGTAGGCTGGTTTTATAGTGCTAGCCCACTGGAGATACCATGCCGCAGTAAAGCATGAATACCCCACTCAGACACATTATACTGACTCCGAGCCGACCAGTCCCTGTTGTACCCATTAATGCCGAGCGCCAGGCAGGGACCAACAAGTACCATATTTTAACGTCTTTTGGTATGACGCGGTCGGGGATCGAACCCGCGACCTTCCGCTCTCCGGGCGGACGCTCTAACCACTACACCACAGAGGCGGTCAGAGAGAGAGAGAGAGGAGCAAACGATTTGAATCAAACGTTATGAACAACTGGTTCCTTGTACAAATATGTTTATAAATGAGGCAATGGACACAACCCTACACTCAGTTGAAACTGCTGTCAGGGAAGCGCATTAACCGCCGCAGACACACGTAGATAGAGAGTGAAACAAATACATACTTGTCTGACATCATATCATTTACAACAATTCATAATATTCCCTCGATCCAAGACGATCCGGGTTAGATCTAATCTCCAGTAACCCATGCTTGTTGTAAGAGGCGACAAACGGGATCGGGTGGTCAGGCTCGCTGACTTGGTTGACACATGCCATCGTATCCCAATTGCGTAGATCGATGCTCATGCCGTTGATCACTGGATTGTCTGGTCCAGACTCGATTATTTACAGCCCGCCGCCATATAGCTGGAATATTTTGAGTGCGGCGTAAAACTAAACTCACTAACTCACTCGCTCACTCATATATTCTCTCTCTTCGAAAGTGATGTCCAAACATGCTATGGTAATGCCAATACTGACAACATAATACAATAACAAATTCACACCACAGATTGCTGTGGAAAAAACTGACCTAAAACACTCACGGATCACGAATATTTTAAGTGATTTATAATGAAATTATGTACTCAAAGTTCATTAAAAAATATTCCCCAAAGAATTCATCATTTCCAGTAGTCTCTGAAGCATCAGTAAAATATATTCAGGAATTTCTTCCGAGAAGTGGTTGTCATGAAAATTGTATTCCTCTCGTGAAATTTCTGATTGAAATGCTGGAACTCAGGCCGTCCTTATACATATTCTTCAAAATGTTCATAAACAGACAAAATATACGCGATGTTTTTCATAAGCAGACACTATATATGCAACACATTTCACTTTAAACCAAAAGAAAATGAAATTTACAATGAAGATACTTTGCATTCATTTAAATATACCACCATAGTACAAAAGTAAAGTACATGCTATGATATACGATGTGTATCTTTTTATCATTGCTTGCTTGTCAGAGTGAGTGAAATAAGTTTCGTTTTCAGAACAAAAATGCAATCTGCGATCATTTATGAACTGCACACCAATGTGTTATAAAACTGTTATTCATGAACTACATGCTTTGGAAGGCGCTGTGAAAGTTTCACTTGATCTGTATGTCGGTCAGGATTGGATTCTGTATGTACCAATTTGGAGTGTTGTACAGGAACCTGCGTCTATCACAGTCTGGTGTTGTACAGGAACCTGTGTCTATCACAGTCTGGTGTTGTACAGGAACCTGTGTCTACCACAGTCTGGTGTTGTACAGGAACCTGTGTCTATCATAGTCTGGTGTTGTACAGGAACCTGTGTCTATCACTATCACTAACGTACCTGTGTCTATATCACTGTACGTCACGCCGAAGACCACATGGGCACAATGTGTTAAGCCCATTTCTGGTGTCCCCCGCCGTGATATTGCTTGAATATTGCTAAAAGCGGCGTAAAACTAAACTCACTCACTCACTATATCACTGTATGGTATTGAACACGCACCTGTGTCTATCACTGTAGGGTGGTGAACTGTAACCTGTGTCTATATCACTGTAGGGTATTGAACACGCACCTGTGTCTATCACTGTAGGGTGGTGAACTGTAACCTGTGTCTATATCACTGTAGGGTATTGAACACGCACCTGTTTCTATCACTGTAGGGTGGTGAACTGTAACCTGTGTCTATATCACTGTAGGGTATTGAACACGCACCTGTTTCTATCACTGTAGGGTGGTGAACTGTAACCTGTGTCTATATCACTGTAGGGTATTGAACACGCACCTGTTTCTATCACTGTAGGGTGGTGAACTGTAACCTGTGTCTATATCACTGTAGGGTATTGAACACGCACCTGTGTCTATCACTGTAGGGTGGTGAACTGTAACCTGTGTCTATATCACTGTAGGGTATTGAACACGCACCTGTGTCTATCACTGTAGAGTGGTGAAGTGTTACCTGTGTCTATATCACTGTAGGGTATTGAACACGCACCTGTGTCTATCACTGTAGGGTGGTGAACTGTAACCTGTGTAACCTGTGTCTATATCACTGTAGAGTATTGAACACGCACCTGTGTCTATCACTGTACGGTGGTGAACTGTAACCTGTGTCTATATCACTGTAGGGTATTGAACACGCACCTGTGTCTATCACTGTAGGGTGGTGAACTGTAACCTGTGTCTATATCACTGTAGGGTATTGAACACGCACCTGTGTCTATCACTGTAGGGTGGTGAACTGTAACCTGTGTCTATATCACTGTAGGGTATTGAACACGCACCTGTGTCTATCACTGGTTGTGAACTGTAACCTGTGTCTATATTACTGTAGGATATTGAACACGCACCTGTGTCTATCACTGGTGGTGAACTGGAACCTGTGTCTATATCACTGTATGGTATTGAACACCCACCTGTGTCTTTCACTGGTGGGGAACTGGAACCTGTGTTTGTATCACTGTAGGGTGGTAAACTGGAACCTTTATCTATCACTGTCGGAAGTATGAGGAGTCGGTCATACAGTTCAGGCAGACGTTGACACTCCATTCCAGACATAAAACGAATAATCAGGATTTTGATAACCGCCAGAAAAGAAAACATTGCGAAAGTTAAACACGGATATTTATTCCTTTTTCTAAAACATAGAAACATTCGACAGTTACATACAAGCAAATCGCCATGGCAACACCGTTGACTTCTTACGGTAGACGTACACGCGAACTTCCTGGAGTCAGACAAACCCATGACACCACTCATTTCAGTTGACCATTGAAGGAAGGGAGGGCACTCTGTAAACAAACACTAAATGGCCACCTAAAATTGAACGGACTATTAGCTATGTTCTGGCTAAATACTAAACTTAGCATCATGATCTTGATGTTTAACTTTCTTCTCTTTCAGTTATATAAATATTACATCTTAATTTTTCACAAGAGTTAATAGGAAAACAGCTGGCGGTGAAAACCTAAAATGTTCTTTTATGTACAAAAAATAACTTTTATTAAAAGTCTTCCCTTTCAATTTAAATTCACTCGAATATGTTAAGCGTTCTTTTCACGTTCAAGGGCACAAGGAGACTTACATACCCCACACTGTTTCACAGGTAACCTTCTTTTTTTATCAAGCATACTATAGTCTTTAAAAAGCCAAGACACTGACAGACAAGCCACGACGGTCGAGTAGCAGTGATTATCTTTACAGCATTAGTAAAGCGATGTACAGCCAGGGAGCATACAACACATGGAGGATAAATACATCGATCGCGATGGACCAACCACAGCTTGAAACATGACATTAGTATACTGACTAAACTAAATAAGGGAACATGTTACATTAACATATCGTGACATGAGTATGTGGGTTGTTTCTTTTTGCCTTCGGTATATGTACGTGTAGTAAAGACGCGGTATGTGCGTTACATTTCGTGAGGGTCGTTCACAGAGAAATGCCCTATATCTTCATAGCACTGCGAGCACACCAGTGCAGAGCACCGATTCAGAATATAAATGAATTGATCAACATTAATTCCACATACACATATTTAATTTAGTGACCTGTGTTCGGATATAACTGCTTTAGTTCTGATTGTAGGGAACAGTGGTCATACCACCCATCGGTGTTAAACGATTAGGTTTAGTCTCCCTGGAACTCAACCTCCAGCAAATCCCGTTAATGTTACTGGGTTTAGGGGAAACATGGTAATACTGCCCGTCACTGTTAACCGATTTCACGCGGTTTATCGTGGACTAAACTAGCGAATTACTCCAAGGTCACTGGAAGTTCCAGTCGGGAACGAGCTGCACTACGGTTCTCTAGGATGAGTTTATAATTTCGCTGTATTGTATGTTTCATCTCTTTCAGGATTCATTTTATCATCATCAATGTTTAATGTGAGTTGGGTAAATACCAAAGATTATACCACTCGAAGGAAGCTAAGGACTAGCCGGCTCTTTAAGGCATTACTGCTGACCTACAGTAATATGTGTGAGTGAGTATGGTTTCACGCCCATTTAGCAATATTCCAGCAATACCAAGGTGGGGACACCAGAAATGGGCTTCACATATTGTACCCATTGGGGGAATCGAACCTGGGTCTTCTGCGTGACGTGCGAACGCTTTAGCCACTAGGCTACCCCCTCGCCGCAATAGTAATATCAAAGTCGGGTGGTCCCTAACATCACTTGAGTAGTATATTTATGATATTTTCAGCATGCCAGTTTAACGGGGGAAGGAAGTACCCGCAGGTACGATGTTAAGTAACTGACGACTTGTCAGGGTCCTATGAAGATCCGGAAAACCCGGAAATCAGCAACCCATGTTTGTCATAAGGGGCGACAAAATGGGACCGGGTGGTCAAACTGGCCGACGTCTTTGATTCATATCATCGTATCCTATTTGCCTAGATCGACGCTCATGATGTCGACCACAGGGCTGACTGGTCCGGACTGGATTATTTACAAACTGCCGTTATACATCTGGAATGTTGCGGATTGCTGATTTTAAAACACTAAACAGGCCGAATTTGATATCCAAACCCTCACACAAATAAATAGCGAAGTTGAGTACATGTTTGTCACAGCTCTTCAACTTCCAGCCAGGGCGTGGTCACAGCCCCAGTTCGCGTCATTTGCATATATTTCGGCAGATTGGGACACCATAATCAATTTAAAGATCTACAAGGAAGCTTATGAAGGATTAAATGAGACCCTTCCCATAACTGTATAATCCAACGTACATTATGCATGTTAATTACAGAGCTTCATATAAGGTAAATACTTAATGATCAGATCAGTCATCATATACAATGAAAACTGCTATACTAGCGGGAAATAAAAGTATCATATTTAACAAAAACAAATGGTAAGGGAAGGTCAATGGCCAATATAACATTGAAGCTGCTGACCTTTCAAATGGACCTTGAACACACGCCATCAGAACACTTAGCTCAGTATTACCAAATCGCGAGTCTAACAAAAAGTTGACATTCAGCACATACCAATCAGAAACTTTTACCAAATCGCGAAAAATTCGCACATACCTTTTGAACTTTTACCTCGCAAACGTTTTGTACCCGAACGATTCCGAATGCTATTTTCCGTACGATCGCTTCCGAGTGATGCACATGGAGCACGCAACAAGAGCGAGTAAACAGTCGCTGAAAATAGCGTTTTGTCAGTATTCAAGGATGTCAGCTTTCGGAAATATTAGCTAATGATAGCCATGTCAACAGAAACCCAAAAGCGTATATTCTGCAGGTCATATATCTGTGTTCTATGCGGGTTTTCATTTGTTATGAGATCAGTGTTGGCGACCGGGGAAGAGAAAATCCATTTTGTAAGTCCCGCCAAACCCTAAATAGTAACCGTTGTCTGATTGGTTAAATCCGTTCGGCCGTCTCGCGTTTGATTGGACGGTCATAGGTCGCTCAAAGGTTACCTGACGCGACCTTCCACAAGGTTTTGTTAGACTCAGTATAGCAGTGTAACGACTATAACTGAGCCTAAGTTTACTTAGACTGCAGTCAGATTTAAAGCTCTTTGGTATTTCACATCACAAAAACAGTATTGGACCATGAATATAAACCATGCTTACATTGCCGTGTAAGAGACACCGGCTAATCAGTAGGCATTTTAACTCCGATACTGTAGGTCTGTCTTTTCCAGAACAATCCCTTCGATATTCCAGATACTGGTTATCAGAATTTGTGTTGAAATGTCGGATTGGGTAAGATTTGTAACGCGTTTACAGGAACTGAAAAATCAGATCTCTGGTCTCGGTTCAACTAAAGAAAGATTTGAGGACATCCCGATATTGGTCACGTTGGTACGACTTTTCATCTGACCAATCAGTGTGTCGGTTTTCCAATCGGGAAAGTGACAATCGGATTGTGTTTTTCAATCATGCAACCTCGAAAAGGTCACCACGGGGTATTCCGACTGACAGTCTGACTGTAGACTGATTCCATCGAAATCAATGGCTATCATTCGCCGTGATACATATTTCAAACAGGAGACTTTTCAAAGCCCGTTGGAAGTACTTCTATACAATCTCTCCAATCTATTGGACATTCGATTACTTTCCATTGTTCAGATGTTTAATTTTGAAATGAGACGTTTGTCAAATACTCTTTCAAAGAGCAGCCTGGAGTGCAAGTCGCCAGTTTGAAACTAGGACTGTGACTGGCTCATGTCGTTGGTCAGTCTGACCTGTCCTGTAAAGTGATGTCCTTGAATCTGTGGAAATCCTTTACCAGGTTGGGTAAAAAAGATGAGCACTGGTAAAACGCTTTTAAAGCTAGGGTTAGCATCTGGGCGAACCAGGATTCGAACCGATAACTACAGGCTCCTGGCATGTCTAAGGGAGGTAACCCTGCACAACGAATTGCCTTGCCTAAGACGATTGGGTCACCCGTTCCTCGTCATGTATAAATCAAGTGTGGAATTATTTCAAAACTGTTGAGTACACTAAATATTCGTGAACTCTACCATTTCCAGATCAGACATTCAGGAATGGGTTTCAATTGTAGACTATACAGGTGATGTGATGTCGGAAACTGAACTGAGGCACCTGTTTTCTCTGTACACAAAACACTTTTACAGCCTACAAATATACGATGCCCAAAATATCCAATACATGATGAAAAAGTACCCAAAATATTTGTACTGACTATCAACATTAAGCAGCTATTAAGGGTAGGCAAGGTACCCGGGAATACCCGATTTGTTAGGTCGCAAGATGACACTAGAGGATAGATTCCGGGTTCTATTCTGTAAATACACATAGGATGGTTTGATTGTTTTGAACAATTCTCTACGGCATTCCCCTTTAGTGTAATATATACAGTGCAAGGAATGTAACCGGGATTGTCACAAATAGGGCACCTGTTCGCTATGTACCGTTAGATCAAAACGCTTTATTACAAGAACCGTCTGTCTTGTATAATGGTGGATGATTAGGGTGTTAAGGTCTGCAGATTAATAATAACAACGTTTGTTTGACATGTAATTGTAAGGATTACATGTTGGGCGATATATATAACACTAATTGGTACCAGACTCGGTATCAACAGCGATCATAAACACCAGCCGTGGTGTGAACTCTGATGATCATCTGATGAAGCAATTTGATTGGTAGTGGTACACGACGGCTACAGCAGGTATGGATGGACATGTTAAAGCTTCATCCTGCCGTGCCTGTTCCTAGAAGCAGGGAGAGCAGTGCGTGGAGCTTAAGACGGAGGCCACGTGGTCTCGTCAAAGATGGAGGAACTTCCGCTTTTCATACAAATACGAAGTTGGCTGTGCCCATTCAGAATTTGCCTAATCAACTTTAGAAAGGGTTAATGAGATATCACACACAGCCCTGGGGTGCACACAAATGTTCACAAACCTGTCTAAACTGTGTCTCCCCTCAACCCAACCCAAAACACACACTACCAAAATAATCGACACGTCTTTCCATGCTCAGGACATAATTAACCTACGTTGCATGTTTTACCTAGGACTGGAGCTGAAAATGTCATTTCCATGGCTGCATGGACTATTCGACATGGAAACACCTCAAAGGCATCAGATCCAGTCATTCTCACCACGACACTCAGAACTGAGTCAACAGTGAGTACTTATGATACACCATTAACGATGGGTGCATTAAGTTGTACAAAATATCAGGGTAATTAGAACACGTGTATCCAAAAAGTTAACATTTCGTAAATCGTTTTCATCTGAACTGCTAACCGTATAATATCGGTCTGAGTTGTTAATGAACTTAACATCAATTTGTAAATTCATTTGTGATATTAATATCCTTCGGTCATCGTATACCCGATTTCCAATTGAAACTGCCACCGAGCACCATCACGCCGCGCCATCAGCCACTGCAAGATCGTACACTACACAGCAAGCATCCTCGTCTACAACGTCAAGAACAGTACGCTGACCAGCAGAAGGACCTGGCTCAGACCGTAACACAAGTACATGGCGCAATTAGTGATGCCGTACGCATCCACCGTAACTTTGAAAGACCGCTGCTTCCGTCCTAACGGATTCTCAACGTTACAGACATAGGCACCAGTGTCATCCTTCGTAACCTTGGAGATGAGAAGTCGGGAACCACTCGCTGTATCTTCTATTTTGGCTCGGTTGGAATCGGGTTGGATGACCTCGTCGTCTTTCAACCACGTGACATCCGGTTTGGGGTATCCGAGGGCATCACAACTTAGGTCTATGCTGTTGTTTCCGCTAATAGTAATTTCCTTGTTTCCGTCACCATTTTTAAAATATGGTTTTCCTGGGGACGAAAGAGTACAGAGTGATCAGTACCTACTTAGTTATATTGTAAAGGAACATACACTGTTCTATTCTATTTCTATTCGAGTGAGTGAGTGAGTTTAGTTTTACGCCACACTCAGCAATATTCCAGCTATATGGCGGCGGTGTGTATTTCATCGAGTCTGGACCAGACAATCCAGTGATCAACAGCATGAGCATCGATCTGCGGATTTGGGATACGATGACATGTGTCAACCAAGTCAGTGGGCCTAACCACCCGATCCCGTTAGTCGCCTCTTACGACAAGCATGGGTTACTGATGACCAATTTCAACCCGGATCTTCACTGGTTATTTCTATTCTACAAAGATTTGTAGACTCATAGGACTTTCGGCCTGCGAATAAGGAATTTCCAACAGAGACATATATATGCATGGGCGGATCCAGGAATTTTGAAAGGGGGGTGGTGGTGGTGGTGGTGGTGGTTGTGGTGGTTGTGGTGGTGTGGGGTGTGCAGGGGTTAAACCCCCTTGGCTCCGCCAACGCCCCCAAATTTTCAATGTGGCCTTAAGTCATTTTCAAAAAGAGGGGTTCGAACCCCTGAAACCCCACCCCTCCACCCCCGGATCCGCCACTGTATATGTGTGCATAAGTGTTAACGAAACGAAACAGAATATAAAGATATAATAAAAGTATGAAATGTTTTCCAAATGGAGCCAACAATAATGCCGAATTTCTAGATAAGAAATAAAATTAAAAAAAAGAAAGAAAAACGCCAAATCATCATATCCTTGAGTACAGTTCTTTTCGTAAATATTCTCTATGCTCTGGAAGATTACTTCTATGGTGTAAACATAACTTACAGCAACAAGCATTCTTCCACTGTTCTAGTGAAAAGTTAACCAATAATTAATGAGGAGACTTTATGATAATAAATGAATGCTCACCTGACATTTTGACCACGACATCGAAGACCTGTGTCTGGTAACTCTCGGGGAAGAAGGTGATCCTGGCCGTGTACTCCCCAGCATCGTCTTCCACTGCAAGGAGCCAAAAACACGACATGAGAAGACGGACACAGACAAGCACGCCTCACTTACACGAGGCAAACTGCCATTGTATATCTGAGCCTATAATTGTCCCGACTTCGGTACATATTATTTTGTGATTTACATGGAATGTCTGAAAGTATTCCCGTTCAAGCTTAGACATATTAGGTTTCTCGCAGAAAATAGTACATGACAGGAATTAATCTGTCAAATGAAAAGGTGTGTGAGCTTGTTCACCTTAGAGTCTGCCATATTGCAGCTACAACGATATATCAAAAACACACATTTTATGTTTTTGATACACGCATGGTGTATTCAGTGCGTGAGTATGGTTTAACGCCGCTTTTAGCAATATTCCAGCAATATCACGGCGAGGTCACCAGAGATGGGCTTCACACATTGTGCTCATGTGGTGAGGTGAGGTGAAATTGGGTCGTGCTGGAGAATATTTCGCTCATATGACGACGTGCATGCGTGTGTATGTGTATGTGCGACTGCTTGTACTAAGCCAGACTGAAGCTGGTTTTATAGTGCTAGCCGACTGAGATACCATGCGCAGTGAAGCATGAATACCCCACTCAGACACACTATACTGACTCCGAGCCGACCAGTTCTTGTTGTACCCATTAATGCCGAGCGCCAGGCAGGGACCAACAAGTACCTTATATTATATTTTAATGTCTTTTGTATGACGCGGTCGGTGATCGAACCCGCGACCTTCCGCTCTCCGGGCGGACGCTCTAACCACTACACCGCGGAGGCGGTCTGGTGTCCATGTGGGGAATTGAACCCGGGTCTTCGGCGTGACGAGCTAATGCTTTAACCACTAGGCCTACCCACCGCCCCTCACGGTGTATTGTGTACCGATTGTCCTCGATTCCCCGAGATAGTGGCAAAACGGAGTAAATCTATATTTGCAATATTGCCATTGTCAGCTATATCAATAATATAAATCCCGACAATCCATTGGTTGCTGGAAATAATAATGGCATCGAGTGTTCCCTGGTGACACCGAAGTGGTTCTACTATGTTTTTTTCTGCACGTGCTTGTTACAATATTCATTAATTGATTTTGATGATAAATGAATTGCCAGACAACATTGAACGAAGCCGAGCATAACTATTGATAGAATGACAGTGAGGTGAGGTGAGGTGAGGTGAAATTGGGTTTAACGTCGTGCTTGAGAATATTTCGCTCATATGACGACGTGCATGCGTGTGTATGTGTATGTGCGGCTGCTTGTACTAGCCCAGACTGAAGCTGGTTTTATAGTGCTAGCCCACTGAGATCCCATGCCGCAGTGAAGCATGAATACCCCACTCAGACACATTATACTGACTCCGAGCCGACCAGTCCTTGTTGTACCCATTAATGCCGAGCGCCAGGCAGGGACCAACAAGTACCATATTTTAACGTCTTTTGGTATGACGCGGTCGAATAAATGACAGTGCTCTTGGGGGATGGGATGGCGTTGACAGACCGATGTTCATGTTGAGTGAGTTTTTGTCACAGGGGAGGTTTGGTAGCCTAGTGGTTAACACGTTCAGGCTTCTCAACGAAGGAATGGGCTTAATTCCCCACCTGGGCAGAGTTTGTAAAGCCAATTCCAGGTGTCCCCTATTGCTGGAATATTGCTAAAAACGGCGTAAAACCCAACTCACTCATCCTGGTCACGGCTAAGGGAAGTAACTCTGCAGGGTGAAACCGAACACTCGGTATACAACAGATACTTATTGCTCATGTGCAATGCACAGAAAGGACTTATCTTGCACGATCTTGTATTGTGATGGTCAGTAACCTGTGGTCAACAGACATTCCACAGTTCCACACCCACTACCGAGCTGGACACAAGGCAGACATTGCATATTGAATTTGGTCAAACCTGACTTGTTGTCTAATGGACTTTGACGAGCACCTGCTTTGAAACAGAATGAGCCAGTGTGGCAGAAGAGTGGCCGACATTTAGCCCCAGGAGATACTTTATTTTAAAATACAGTGTCTATATCTGAAAACATGAATTATAACCCAGAACAACTCTTTCTTTCAGGAACTTGGTCAATTTTAAAATTTTAAATTTTAAAAGATCCGGGTTAGAATTGATCTTCAGCAACCCATGCTTGTCGTAAGAGGCGACTAACTGGATCGGGTGGTCAGACTCGCTATCTTGGTTGACACATGTCATCGGTTCCCAATTGCGTAGATCGATGCTCATGCTGTTGATCACTGGATAGTCTGGTCCAGACTCAATTATTTACAGACCGTCGCCACATAGCTGGAATATTGCTGGAATATTGCTGAGCGAACCCATGACGACAAATGTCTGACGTGTACAAGAGACACAGCGGTTTGTAGGGTCTGAGCCGAATGGACCACCCGATCCCCTAAATCACGAGTTTTGGTGACACAGGCTGGAAATTGCCCACATGGATACGACTCTCGAATAAGAAGAGTTTGCCCCCAAACCTTTGTTAAATGTTCTTAATACAATATGACAAACTCAGCCTAGAGACTCCCTTCATTTCCTAGGGCGGTGGGGTGGCCTAGTGGTTAACGCGTTCGCTCGTCACGCCAAAGACGCGGGTTCGATTCCCACATGGTACAATGAGTGAAGCCAATATCTGGTGTCCCCCGCCGTGATATTGGTGGAATAATAAGTCACTCTCTCCCTTCATTTCCTGGAACTACTTTAATATAGACTTGCATGCGCTGTATTGGATATACTTGTTTCGAGGTGTGTATGACAGACTATCTAAGCACGAAACATCCATCTTCCCTATCTCCAGTGTGATGACCTTGAGGTCCTGCCACCGGACCCCACCAATCATTGAAAGAGGTCATTGATTACGACTGGCAATACAGTAATTGCGTCCACCAGCTTTTGAGCCGTGCCTAGGACAGTCTAAAGTTGCAGTGACCTGTAAATCACCCCTGAATAGAGCCACCAGCAATTGTCGGTCAGCGAACATATAATATCTAACAAACATGGCTGCTGATGTTGCCTCTCGGCCTGGATGCACCCTCGTCTTAGATGCGGGAGAGATGAACCATGTGTAGTTACCCTGGCGCAAAATCGATCAAACTTTTCTTTACAGCTGAATGTCTCAAGAGGACGATGCTATTTTATCCATGTGAAAATTTGCTCGCTTGCCGCCTACATGACTCTTGGTAAAAATGTTGACAGATAAATCAGGGAACGCCGCGACGTCGGTAATGCCCTTTACTGCTAGAGATAATCCTATCCTGAGATGTAAGATAATCATAGCGTTATTCACTGAATTTTATCATGTTTATTTGACTTGCGATGGAAGCACTCTGGTCCAATCTCCAGACTAGCCGAGATCAAACAAGGCTGCTGGTTAGAACAGGAATCATTTTATTGACTGATGAAACAGATACGGCCACTCCTCTGTTCACCTCTCTGGGAAAATATGAACAAAAAATTATAATAATTTTGTACTGTTTTAGACATGTAATTTCTGAAAAATAAGAATATACATGGTTAATATTATTGTCTGTTGTTTAAAGTTGCACTCGGCATATTGCATCATTTTCATGGCAGTCTAAATGACTGAACTGGTGATCTACGCTACCGAGTGAGTGAGTGAGTGAGTATGGTTTTACGCCGCTTTTAGCAATATTCCAGCAATATCACAGCGGGGGATATCAGAAATGGGCTTCACACATTGTACCCATGTGGGGAATGGAACCCGGGTCTGCGGCGTGACCATTAGGCTACCCCACCGCCCCTCGCCGCTACTGGGACACGATGGCATGCGTTAACTAAGTCAGCGACCTTGACCACCTGATCACGTCATCATTTAAAGCTTTAGCACTGCAGAAAGGGCTGGGTGGAACTGGAAATAATGCGGTTCAGGGACTGTGAGAAGGCTAGGTTGAGTGAGTGAGTTTTAGCAATATTCCAGCAATATCACGGCGGGGGCACAAGAAATGGGCTTCACACATTGTGCCCATATGGGGAATCGACCCCATGTTTTTGGCGTGACGAGGGAACGCTCAGCTCCGCCAGAAGCATCTTAGTAGTACTACAAGAATGCGTTCCTGGAGACCGATTCTAAGTTGTATTTTTTTGGACCGGTATACATTAAATATTCAGGCTTCTGTTCCTGAATCGTTCAAAAGGATGTCAGTGTTTTGTCGGTGCCCGCCATGAATTTGGTGAATTATCGCTAAAGCTGTCGTACATGCTCAATTAGTCGTCTTCCTCTTTTACCTACTTGCTATTTTGCTACTTTATCCCATTTTACATACAGCAACATAATACCTTTGGCTTAACGCTACAAAGCGCAAGACAACACAAGATTTTCAATTTCAGAACAATGTACTCTACGCGTTCGCTAGGAAAAAATACTGAGACGTAACAAAATCGCACCTTCTTTTTTCAAACACTGGATCATAAATATTGATACACCCATAAGGGAGACAATCGGCGCCAAGCGGGCTGGATTGGGTTGAATGCGTACCACTGGTGAAGAATGTGAAAATGCATGTCGTAAGGACACACGTTAGTATATTGATTTTAACATGTACATTAATTGTCCACGATCCCCTTGGGACGGAGAGTGTGTCACTGTCATTAATTCCTCACAGAATAACAAATGCATTATTAGAGAACAGCCAACCCCAAGGGAGCGGCTCCGTGACTCACACCCCTCTTGGACACGAATTTCACGCGTTTCACGATCTGCTGCACGTGCTGAGTCAAACCACGCCAGAGTCAACATCCGGCCGGGCACTGGGTTACGTCATCATTTGAACCTGGCAGCTAATGTGTAAACCATACCATGCTGCGACTTCAGAGACTATTACCACTGAACTATGTTGACAGATTCAGTACAGGGTCTGTGATTCATACCCTGCCAGGAGTGAATGGTATACGATTATGCTTTTGAATAATTCATCAAATCAGCCATCTGTGGATAAGCCCAAATGTTCTCTACTTGTTTCGTTAAGTCCTACACTCATTTGTTCATCATGTAAAGATTATATAAAAATATATGTGTAAAGTCTAAAGCAATAATTACCATCTATCCGGTATAAAGATGTTGACCAACCAATACATTTGGTTAAGTTTTTAAACTTTTGGTAATCACAACAATTATCTGTAATATCACCACACTGTACATCAACCTCTTCAATTGTATAAATTCAAATACCCTTCATGTGTATATTACCCATGAAGGTCCGGGTTAGAATGAACCTTCAGTAACACATGCTTGTCGTAAGAGGCGACTAACGGGATCGGGTGGTCAGGCTCACTGGCATAGTTGACACATGTCATCGGTTCCCAATTGCGCAGACCGATGCTCATGTTGGTAATCACTGCATTGTCTGGTCCAGACTCGATTATTTACAGACCGCCGCCATGTGGCTGGAATATTGCTGAGTGCGGCGTAAACGTAAACTCACTCATCATTCTTCTAAATGCCACTTAAATACGTTTTTGTTAAGAGGTTACAAACGGGATCAGGCGATCAGGCTTCCTCACTCCGACACATGGGCACAATGTGTTAAGTCCATTTCTGGTGTCCCCCGCCGTGATATTGCTGGAATATTGCTAAAAGCGGCGTAAAACTAAACTCACTCACTCACTCCTCACTCTGATGAAGCATATAATCGTAACCTAATTGCGTAGGTATGTTCTCATGATGACAATCACTGGATTGTCAGGGCCAGGCTTCATTATTTACAAACGTCAATCATATAACAGAAATGTTGCTGAGTATGCCATTAAACAAGAACGTCGCCGTGTGAGCGTATAGGGGAGCTAGTCGTTGGGATATAGGGCGCTGGGTAAAGCATTAGTTAAATTAATGCAGTTATAATATGTAATTCCCCAATCAGAACCAGGCTCCCTGTTCATTATTCAACTCACTCTATTGGCCATTAATAAGTTTACTATATTTGGGCCAGCGAACAAGCTTTAATGTTGAACACTATATCTGACTCCTTCTTGGTTCAGATAACATCCAGGGCGTTGGGGTAGCCTAGTTGTTAACGCGTTGGCCCGTCACGCCGAAGACCCGGGTTCGAATCCCCACATGGGTACAATGTGTGAAGCCCATTTCTGGTGTCCCCCGCCGTGATGTTGCTGGAATATTGCTAAAAGCGGCGTAAAACCAAACTCAGTCAGTCAGTCAGATAACATCCTATTTGTCTCAAGGGATGGTGTATGTGAGCAATATGGACCAGTCGCGACGACAGAAACATATGTTTGTAACATGGTTTCACGGCTGCAGTGACCTGTCTGTATCACTTACTCAACAAACTTTCATTCCACTATATTTTCACTCTCGTGGGGTTTAATATCTAGTTGTTTCTAAAAAACGGCTTCATCTCTGGGCTCAACGGATTTGAACACAATCCGTCGTTCTTGGTAGATAGACAATCTCTGTAATCTCAAGACTTTCAATATCTCCTGGGCCCACTCGCACACAACGATTCCAGCGTTACGACTTAAGATTAGATATATTTGCAGGAAATGTAATTTCTTTGTCGTTTTTTAATTTGACAGACGAATTATGTTTTTCTTTGTAGTCAAAACATGTCAGAACAACCTTTTTCACATCCATATCATAGAATCACAAAACAAATAGGTGGTCTTTTTGTCCAAATTATTCCATGACTTTACACTTAATTTTAAACATAAAAATCTTAGATTGACATGATGCAGTGAAAAGTGAACAAGTGCAGTTGGAGCAGGTTCGGCCTCAACGCCGGTTTGAGTGAGTGAGTGACTTTAGTTTTACGCCATATTCCAGCAATATCACGGTGGGGGATACCAGAAATGGGCTTCACACATTGTACCCTAGACTAAGGCTTAGTCTCTAAATATATATAATTTGGATAGTAACAAACAAGCCCATTTATATTGAAAAGGAGCCCTAGGGAGACCAGAGATTCAGAACCTGAGGAAATCTAGACTTGCTTTATTTAGGGCTTTAGCACTGCAGAGAGGGCGGGGCTAGGCAGTAGGGAAAATAATGTTGTTCAGGGACTGTGGGACAGACTAATTGTACCCATGTGGGGAATCGAACCCGTGTCTTTGGCGTGACGAGCGAATGCCTAACCTGGTGTCTCATCGCAAAGGGTTTCCTCTATGAGTCAGTCGTAATGATTTCATGATATGACCTCCAAATAATCCCATAATGTACTCACCAGTCTTTCCTAGGGTGAGCGTGAAGTTCCTTTCCCCGTATGTGACCCTGTCCTCCACCCCCGGGATGTCGTCCAGCATCTTGTCGCCCTTATACCAAACCGTACTCAGCTGTTCGAACGTAGTTTCTGCTTCACACTTGATTGTCACGTCCTCGCCGACTGTCACGTTAGAATTCTGCGTTAAAACTGAAATAAAAAAAATGAAATGCTTTATTGTCACGAAGTAATAAAACGTTTAAAATCCACCAATGAAAGGGGCACGGCTGATCTAGTGGTCCACAGCACCGTTCTTTGAATGAGTTGTGTCCCTTACAATCCCGTTTCCGGTACAAAATTTGGTAAGATTACAGAATACCGGATACCTTCCGCCATCTTTGAAAGCACGCGAGTTTACTTTTGGTTAGGGTTAGGTAAGGTTTAGGGTTAGGGTTAGGGATAGGGTTAGGTTCAGGGTTAGCGTTTGGGTTAGGGTGACGTGACACTAAACAATATGGCTGGTAGGTATCTGGTATTCTGTAGATGTACCCTAAATTTAATCGGTTATGGTCCCTGGGACCCATATTCGTGGGCATTCCTCTTTGGTTTTGTCATTCAAATGCAAATTTATACAGTAAACACACGAGCAAATAGAATTCATGAGTTGGATACATTTTTCGCTTACTGAATAGCCTGTGAGCTTGTGTCATGTAGGTACATATAATTCCTTTATCAGATGAGAGCAGTGTTCACATAGCGTCACATAGTATTCGACCGCCTCCGTGGTGTAGTGATTAGAGCGTCCGCCCGGAGAGCGGAAGGTCGTGGGTTCGATCCCCGACCGCGTCATACCACAAGACGTTAAAATATGGTACTTGTTGGTCCCTACCTGGCGCTCGGCATTAATGGGTACAACAAGGACTGGTCGGCTCGGAGTCAGTATAATGTGTCTGAGTGGGCTATTCATGCTTCACTGCGGCATGGTATCTCAGTGGGCTAGCACTTTAAAACCAGCTTCAGTTTGGCCTAGTACAAGCAGCCGCACATACACGTACACACGCATGCACGTCGTCATATGAGCGAAATATTCTCAAGCACGACGTTAAACCCAATTTCACCTCACCTCACCTAGTATTCATCATCTACGAACCTATTAACTGTATCTCATCATGAAGAATATTAATGTATCTTCCAAACTCAACATTTAATATATAATCATTACTCCCACAGTTTGGATTAACGTTGCATAATATATGGAGGTTTGTATGTTATTCGATTGTTTCCACATACATTGGTGATCTATATTGGTCTGAGAGTCTCCATCCGTATTCTGCTGAACCCAGACAGCACCAAATCCTACGTGGAAGAGAATATTCTTATTTGAAGTAGCCCATGTGCTTCTTCTATCCTCATCCAGAAAGTTAAGTCTGATGTTAGCCTGATATAGTGGTCTATGATTGTTGAAGTGATTTAATTTAGTCCGATACTGTATTGTTTTTGCCATGTAGATCTATTGTAGAGACTGTCTGACTCTCTGAGGACCTAATCTTTAGCATTCTTAGTAATATTAGTCTGAGAAATATTTTGTTTAAGACTTTTTATTTTATTAACATGTTATATGATTTTCTCCAGATTTCATCTCTATAACACAACGTTGGAATAAACATACAATAACTTGACATTCCGTGGTAACTCTGAAATCGTTTGAAGCTGAACTAAAACCAGACAAGAAGCCCTGAGACGCTGCCATAGATCGTATATAATAACTGGATAATGCGTATTTCGTGTATATGTAATTGTACAAATGCCGCCGTGGTCGTCTTCAAACACGTTTATGACCGCCTCTGGTGTAGCCGATTAATGGGCAGACATCTGCCGGAGAGCATGCCAAAAAAGACGTTAAGACATGATACTTGTTGTTACCTAGCCTGGCTCTCGGCATTCAGGGGGACATAAGGTCTGCCGGACGGGTGTCGGTGTACTGTGTCTGAGGTCTCCATATTAAAGTGCAACATGGTGTCTCAATAGCCAGGTACTATTAGATCGGCATTCAAGGGGACATAAGGTCTGCCGGACGGGTGTCGGTATACTGTGTCTGAGGTCTCCATATTAAAGTGCAACATGGTGTCTCAATAGCCAGGTACTATTAGATCGGCATTCAGGGGGACATAAGGTCTGCCGGACGGGTGTCGGTATACTGTGTCTGAGGTCTCCATATTAAAGTGCAACATGGTGTCTCAATAGCCAGGTACTATTAGATCGGCATTCAGGGGGACATAAGGTCTGCCGGACGGGTGTCGGTGTACTGTGTCTGAGGTCTCCATATTAAAGTGCAACATGGTGTCTCAATAGCCAGGTACTATTAGATCGGCATTCAAGGGGACATAAGGTCTGCCGGACGGGTGTCGGTATACTGTGTCTGAGGTCTCCATATTAAAGTGCAACATGGTGTCTCAATAGCCAGGTACTATTAGATCGGCATTCAGGGGACATAAGGTCTGCCGGACGGGTGTCGGTATACTGTGTCTGAGGTCTCCATATTAAAGTGCAACATGGTGTCTCAATAGCCAGGTACTATTAGATCGGCATTCAGGGGACATAAGGTCTGCCGGACGGGTGTCGGTATACTGTGTCTGAGGTCTCTATATTAAAGTGCAACATGGTGTCTCAATAGCCAGGTACTATTAGATCGGCATTCAGGGGACATAAGGTCTGCCGGACGGGTGTCGGTATACTGTGTCTGAGGTCTCTATATTAAAGTGCAACATGGTGTCTCAATAGCCAGGTACTATTAGATCGGCATTCAGGGGACATAAGGTCTGCCGGACGGGTGTCAGTATACTGTGTCTGAGGTCTCCATATTAAAGTGCAACATGGTGTCTCAATAGCCAGGTACTATTAGATCGGCATTCAGGGGACATAAGGTCTGCCGGACGGGTGTCGGTATACTGTGTCTGAGGTCTCCATATTAAAGTGCAACATGGTGTCTCAATAGCCAGGTACTATTAGATCGGCATTCAGGGGAACAAAAGGTCTGCCGGACGGGTGTCGGTATACTGTGTCTGAGGTCTCCATATTAAAGTGCAACATGGTGTCTCAATAGCCAGGTACCATTAGATCGGCATTCAGGGGACATAAGGTCTGCCGGACGGGTGTCGGTGTACTGTGTCTGAGGTCTCCATATTAAAGTGCAACATGGTGTCTCAATAGCCAGGTACTATTAGATCGGCATTCAGGGGGACATAAGGTCTGCCGGACGGGTGTCGGTATACTGTGTCTGAGGTCTCCATATTAAAGTGCAACATGGTGTCTCAATAGCCAGGTACTATTAGATCGGCATTCAGGGGGACATAAGGTCTGCCGGACGGGTGTCAGTATACTGTGTCTGAGGTCTCCATATTAAAGTGCAACATGGTGTCTCAATAGCCAGGTACTATTAGATCGGCATTCAGGGGACATAAGGTCTGCCGGACGGGTGTCGGTATACTGTGTCTGAGGTCTCCATATTAAAGTGCAACATGGTGTCTCAATAGCCAGGTACTATTAGATCGGCATTCAGGGGGACATAAGGTCTGCCGGACGGGTGTCGGTATACTGTGTCTCAGGTCTCCATATTAAAGTGCAACATGGTGTCTCAATAGCCAGGTACTATTAGATCGGCATTCAGGGGGACATAAGGTCTGCCGGACGGGTGTTGGTATACTGTGTCTGAGGTCTCCATATTAAAGTGCAACATGGTGTCTCAATAGCCAGGTACTATTAGATCGGCATTCAGGGGGACATAAGGTCTGCCGGACGGGTGTCGGTATACTGTGTCTGAGGTCTCCATATTAAAGTGCAACATGGTGTCTCAATAGCCAGGTACTATTAGATCGGCATTCATTAGGATTCGCCCACGCCGGCACACTCGCACGCACGCACAAACGCACTCACGCACACACACATACTCCCACATATCGATATATAATTGCAATAATCCTGAACGTGAGGTGACATAACAAAATTCTATACCACCTCAAATACGCTTTACCTTCCAGCTAGGACTGGCTATCGATATAGTGAGTGAGTAAGTATAGATCACAGAGATCGATAATCGTTAACTAAATATCGACCGATTATCGAAAAAATAACTTTGAGCGAAATTGCCCAAAACTTCTGAAAGAAATGAATATATTTCTCACCGGTGAGGTGTGGTATGTTTATTAGTGTTGGGAATTGGTTAAAATCTCATAATTGATGATTGGTTCATTACCACCGATCAATCATTGAAAATAATTGGTTAGCGTCATTTATGAAATTTGTTGATGCACACAAAAATAAGGAAAAAACATGTAGTTATTTTGGGGGTTTTGGCAAAATTTCACATCTTTAAAGGATGACTAGTATGTTAGGAATATAAATTTCTTGGTGGTTTTAAGATAAATTCAATCATGACTTGGAACGAGCTTATAGTGCTTATGAAATGTAACAGACAAAACCAACCTTGTGAAAAATATTGTTGATGAAAACAAGTGTTCCAGAATTATTTATGTTCGATTATGAGAAAACATGATCGATTGCTTGGTCGTTTAGACACTGCGACCAATCTTCGATTATTTCAATTAATCGGATCACCACTAATGTTTATGCACGGATTACTAACTACACAGCGCCATGAACATAATATAGAAGCAGCACATAGATAAAGACCTACATTTGTATATTGTTTGAGTAAATCAAAACTTTGCTCTATCATAAAAGTTAATGTACGACATTGTCGATAATTTTCGTATAGATAGCATTACCAATCTTTCCTATCGACGATATTTCCGATTATCGATCATTTTAGCCAGCCCTACTTCCACCCCAACTGTACCTTGCCGACACTAATGGTGTATAACGGACAGTTTATTGAAAATGGCTCGTGATAAGTACACAGAGATCGCGGAGCGGAAGCACAATGACTACCGTTATTTATCCTCACCGTCACGCTTGGTTCTCATTCAAAACACAGACAAACATTTTAAAAACTTCGTTAAACCCACGATTCATCTGACAGCTGTTATTTCAGAAATACACATTGAACCATTAAAGATCAATATTAGCATAATAGAAAGCATTTCGTGTACAAACCTAATTTGTGTTACACAAATGTCGTGCAATGTTCGAAATTTTTACGAAGTCTCAAATTGGCGGGTATACATCATAGCGCTGACAGAGCATGGCTTAGT